AAAAGGTCATGTATTAATCTCTTTATCATATACTTCCGACAATTGTTTTATGTAAGGCAAATAAACAAATGAAATAACTAAAATAGTCAAAAACTTTTTAAAGAAGTTAAATCATGAATCCAACAAATACACTATAATTGTCCAACAAAAGCATCACTACCTCCATATATATTATGGTACCATTTCCTATAGAGGAATTTTGAAACATTAAAAATTTGGAAGCTGGAAGCATGGAGGAAGTATTTACAGTTTTATGATCATTATTACTACATGTTGTACTATGTGAGATGATTCATATTTGTCAATGGCCTTTAATCAGCAAGAACTAATTGTAAACTAGCATCATTTTGAAAATCTATATCATCGGATTTAGCCATGTTAACATCTTTTTTTTCAATAACAGCTGGTTCTGTACAAACAGATTTACCACTGGATCCAATAAACCTTATCGCTTTTTGTCCGCCATTACTGGACATCCCAAAAGTTCCCGTAAAATTTTGACGTCATAATAAAAAATATCTGACGCCACAATGGAAAAGTAAACATACGATACCGGAAATACCGGAAGTAACTTGCACGAGAGGCACTGTTATGGTTTTTTTTGCACGAGACGCCCCTGATATGGGTTATCAGCCCGGGTGGGAAATTATGGCTTGTGTACTTCCGTTCATTACACATATGCAAAAGCTATCATATTAATGCTAAGTATATGATAAATAGTAATTATTTTGTCAATTATTTGATTGGCTAATACGGAATCACGTGTCATAAATTATTTTCGATGTTTTTCCAAAAATTGGCAGGAGCGGTGAATAACCCCAACAAATTGAAGCCTCCATTGAACAACCCTATTATCACCGATGAATAACCCCGACAAATTGAAGCCTCTCGAACAACCCTATTATTCCCCGGTGAATAACCCTTGTCGTACCTCAATGATCACGAGTTAACTCCCTTTAAAGTGGGACGTCACTTAACGTCAGATAAACAAAATTTGGATATTCACCTCCTCAGCGGGCCATAATTGTATAATGTTTGTGGTTACCAATTTTTGCGTATGGTTTAGAATAGGTGTGTGGTTATTCCTGTTTACTGGCTATAAGTTGGGTTATTTGTATTTACTTACTATAAGTTCAGGCGCGTACTAATTCATGTTCAGTGGTTATGTAATCAGGCGTATGGTATTTCCTATATACCGGTTATATGGTCAGATAAATGGTTATTCCAATTTACTCGTTATATTGTTAAGTGTGGCGTTATTCCAGTTTAGTGGTTATATTGTCAAGTGTGACGTTATTTCTGTTTATTGGTTATATTATAAGTCATATGGTTCGCTACTGACTCCCTACGGATCCATAGAGGGTTAGTAAAATCCATAGGGGGTGAGGCCGAAGGCCTAATCTTCTATGTATTTTACTCACCCTCTATGGTCCGTAGGGGGTCAGTAGGGAACCGTATAACGAATTTATCGCATGCGGGACATTTCCTGCCGCGTTTTGTAGAAAAATAAAAGATGAAATGCAATAACATCAATAGATGACGTCACCATTAACAGTAGACGTGACGTCATGAACCCCATATGAAATTTACTTACCCCCTACGGATCCATAGGGGTCACCACGTGACGTCGTTCAACCAATCACAACGTCATAATTTACCCGCGGTGCGATAAGGTCATATACGTGGGTTTTTTCTTTGTTCACTAGTTGTTTTGTCAAGTATAATGTTATTTTTGGTTGCTGGGTATATTGTCGAGTATAGTGTTATTCCTGTTTGCTGGTTATATTGTCAAGTGTGACGTTATTCCTGTTTACTGATTATATAGTCATGTGTGACTTCATTACTGTTTACTTGTAAGTGTGACGTTATTCCTGTTTATTTGTTATATAGACAGGTGTGACGTTATTCCTGTTTACTGGTTTTATAATCAAGTGTTACTTTATTCCTGGTTACTGGTTTTATAGGCCTGTGTCACAGTTACGTTATTCCTGTTTACTGTTTATATAGTAAGGAATGACATTACTCCTGTTCACAGGTTATATGGTCAGGTAAGTGGGTTTCCTTTTTCACTGTTTATATTGTCAAGTGTGACGTTATTCCTGTTTACTGGTTATACGGTCGAGTGTGACGTTAATCCTGTTTACTTGTAAGTGTGACTTCATTCCTGTTTACTGGTTATATAGTTAAGTATGACGTTATTCCTGTTTACTTGTTATATAGACAGGTTAGAAAGGTGTGACGTTATTCCTGTTTAGTGGTTATATTGTCAAGTGTGACATTATTTCTGTTTACTGGTTATAAAGTCAAGTATGACGTTATTCCTGTTTACGTGTTATATAGACAGATTTAGACAGGCGTGTCGTTATTCCTGTTAAGTGGTTATTTTGTCAAGTGTAACGTTATTCCTGTTTACTGGTTATATGACGTTATTCATTTTTACTGGTTATATAGTCAAGTGTAACTTTATTCCTGTTTACTTGAAAGTGTGACGTTATTCCTCTTTACTGGTTATATAATCAAGTGTGACGTTATTCCTGCTTACTTGTCATATGGCCATGTACGTAGTTTTTTTTTCATTGGTTGTTTTGTCATGTGTGTATTTATTCCTATGTACTGGATATATAGTCAAGTGTGACGTTATTCCTGTTTGCTGGTTATATAGTCAAGCGTGACGTTTTTCCTGTCTACTGATTATATAGTCAAATGTGACATTATTCTTGTTTACTGGTTATATAGTCAAGTGTGACGTTATTTCTGTTTACCGTTTATATAGTCAAGGGTGACGTTATTCCTGTTTACTGGTTATATGGTCAAATGAGACGTTATTCTTGTTTACTGGTTATATAGTCAAGGGTGACGGTATTCCTGTTTACTGGTTATATAGTCAAGTGTGACGTTATTCCTGTTTACTGGTTATATGGTCAAGTGTGACGTTATTCCTGTTTACTGGTTATATAGTCAAGTGTGAAGTTATTCCTGTTTACTGGTTATATAGTCAAGGGTGACGTTATTCCTGTTTACTGGTTATATAGTCAAGTGTGACGGTATTCCTGTTTACTGGTTTTATAGTCAAGTGTGACGTTATTCCTGTTTACTGGTTATATTGTCAAGTGTGACGTTATTTCTGTTAACTGTTTATATGGTCAAGTGTGACGTTATTCCTGTTTACTGGTTATATGGTCAAGTGTGACGTTATTCATGTTTACTGGTTATATGGTCAAGTGTGACGTTATTCATGTTACTGGATATATAGTCAAGGGTGACGGTATTCCTGTTTACTGGTTATATAGTCAAGTGTGACGTTATTCCTGTTTACTGGTTATATGGTCAAGTGTGACGTTATTTCTGTTTACTGTTTATATAGTCAAGGGTGACGTTATTCCTGTTTACTGGTTATATGGTCAAATGTGACATTATTCTTGTTTACTGGTTATATAGTCAAGGGTGACGGTATTCCTGTTTACTGGTTATATAGTCAAGTGTGACGTTATTCCTGTTTACTGGTTATATGGTCAAGTGTGACATTATTCCTGTTTACTGGTTATATAGTCAAGCGTGACGTTATTCCTGTTTACTGGTTATATTGTCAAGTGTGACGTTATTCCTGTTTACTGGTTATATGGTCAAGGTTGGCGTTATTCCTGTTTACTGGTTATATAGTCAAGCGTGACGTTATTTCTGTTTACTGTTTATATAGTCAAGGGTGACGTTATTCCTGTTTACTGGTTATATAGTCAAGTGTGACTTTATTCCTGTTTACTGGTTATATAGTCAAGCGTGACGTTTTTACTGTCTACTGATTATAGTCAGGTGTGACGTTGTTCCTGTTTTCTGGTTATATAGTCAAGCGTGACGTTTTTACTGTCTACTGATTATAGTCAGGTGTGACGTTATTCCTGTTTTCTGGTTATATAGTCAGGTGTGACCTTATTCCTATTTACTGGTTATATAGCCAAGTGTAACGTGTTTCCTGTCTACTGATTATATAGTCAGGTGTGACGATATTCATGTAACTGGTTATATAGTCAAGCGTAACCTTATTCCTGTTTACTGGTTATATAGTCAAGTGTAACGTGTTTCCTGTCTACTGATTATATAGTCAGGTGTTACAATATTCCTGTTTACTGGTTATGTAGTCAAGTGTAACGTGTTTCCTGTCTACTGATTATATAGTCAGGTGTGACAATATTCCTGTTTACTGGTTATATAGTCAAGTGTAACATGTTTCCTGTCTACTGATTAAATAGTCAGGTGTGACGATATTCCTGTTACTGGTTATTCCCTCAGATATGTGTTTATTCCTGTTCACTTGTGATATGGTCACTATGCTGATTAATGAAGAACAGGAAATGTAGGATATACATGACATAGATATCCCGTAAAGACCACCTTAGTTATGATGATGTAGGATATACATGACATAGATGTCCCGTAAAGACCACCTAAGTTATCATGGTGTCTGTAAAATGTTTGAAGAGATGAATTTATGTTATCATCAAGAACTCTTGGATTTGTGGAAACAAATTATATTTTCAAAAATTTGTTTGATAGCTCTGCCTCATTGGCTTCTATCTTGACATCAACAGAGGCTTTTCTACTATTATAAATTCTAACTTAAGTGACTATTCAAATACTTTATATATCTGTTATTTAATAATATATGTGTATTTAAATAACTCGACCTGTATAAAGAGTTAAGATTACAACAATGCAGGGGATTACACTTTAATTGCTCTATAATCTCCTATGGCTAATTAATTTAAAATCAGATTTGCGTTTATTTTACTTAAATCACTAAGTAAATATTTGAATAACGATACATTCCCTGGTTTAAAGGAAATACACCATCACATCTTGACAAAAAATCCATTAGGCATTTTCTTTATATACGTTTTTAAAGTCGGTCCTAACTTGTATAAATCAGTGTGTTTAACTTTACAAGTAAAATCATCAATTATGCAAATGCATATACGACAGGAGTTAAATGATAAGAAATCTTTTTACCCAAGAGATGAGATATATAATGTACGCTATTTAATAAATCACGTTCAATGCTAATATCGAAAAGGAATCCCTACGCTAACTGTTAAGTGAATACAATACAGTGGTATGTCCCAAATCAAATACTATTTTTCCTACAGTCGCATATTTGATAACTGCTCTATACTTTGAGGACATTATAACCGTTTATTGGCTGTTGTGCGGGTAATTAATTATGTTACCATTATTTTCATTGGATTAATTAATTGCAATTTTATATAGAGTGTTAGTTCTAAAATGACGGGAAAGACATGTGGTTGAAATTGAGAGTCAATAATGGATGTGTAGATAATTTTACTGGTAAATTAATCTGTTTATGGATATTAATCTGCTCTGCTTTAGGTAAGTGTATCTTCCATTTACTTAATATATATTTTTGTTTAATTAATCGTTTGTTTTTATGTTTATTCATCATTTGCTATTCTGTTTTATTTTATTTTTGAGATACATATTGCATTTTAGTCATAATCATGATACAAATCTCTTTGAAACCCTCAGTTGAAAGCATGTTTTTTTTTATCAATTCACAAGAAGATTACACTCCGGATAATACCAAGTTAGGAAAAAAGGTATGGTGTACAAGTTGCTTGATTAAGACATTCAGTTTTGAAAGAATACTATACACAATTATTACCAATTTTAGTACATATACTATTTTTCTTTCGGTTCTTGCAAAATCATGCAGGCAATCCAAATATCAGTGGCGGATCCAGAAATTTACATGGGGGGGGGGGGGGGGGGGGGATCCCACTGACTGCCATAAGAGGGGGCCCGCTCCAGTCATGCTTCAGTGGTCCCTAAATAATCAACCAAATTTTTCCCTCAAAACCTGCCCCCTCCCCTACCCCCAACCTGACCCCCCCCCCCCCCCCCCCCCCCCCCCCCCCCGCATCAATCCGCCTCTGAATAACATTCACTGATAAAGTTGTATCAAATACAAGATAACAAATATCACACTAAATGAATTGAAAAATTAGAATTTATTTTCAACATAACCGGTATATTGTGTAGGAAACCATATACATTTTACGGTGTGCATGATTCGGATATTTCAATGGATATTCAACGATAAAATTGAACGACAATTAAATTACATGTATTACCCACAAAGGAAACGTTTGGAAGTTCGGAACATTTCTAAATTAATTATGATACTGAACTTAATAACTTGTTTAAAGTATTTTAGCAGATATTAACGATCAAAAGTGTTTTATGTGATATTAACGGCTAGGATTTTATAACATGTTGTATAAATATTTCATTAGTTCATTAATTACATTTAGAAATAAGTCAACTAGAACATCCAAAAGAACACATAAGTACTAAACATATTTGTATAAGCATTTACAAAACTGAAGTTCTGTAATAGTCGGATCACATTCAAATAAAAACTTGTGTTTGATTTTTCTTTATAATTGACATTCCTCTTTGAAAAAAAGCATCAAAGTATCAGATTGTGTTGGATACATAGGTTTTCTTTTAATCACTATAAATGTTTTAATTTTATCAGTGTATTCGATGTTTTGATCTAAATTGTTGTTCATTAGGCAACCCTATATCAATGTAGGGTTCATGACAACAATACTATGTGAAAAGTCGCATTTGAGTCAGATTGCATTAAAGTAACATTTGTATTGATCTTGTATATTTTTACTTGAATACCAACTTTTATGTAAGATTCCTATAGTTACCTAATATAAGATAGTTACTATTAACAGTCTTTCATTTATCCACGCCAGGTGGAAACTATGTTGTATCTTTTATTTAAAGCCTATTCGTTACTAGTACAATACTTCCATCTTTTTATTAATGATTTATACGACTATATGTCGCGGACGATTTATTCGTAACAGAAATAATGTTATTTGCCTTTTAGTAATACATCTTATACGACAAAAAACTTATAGGAAATACCTAATCTACTAGAGAGAATGGGGATAAGAGGTTACAATTTAAAAGACAATATGTGAACGATATACATGTAAATCAAAACGTACGTGACAGGAGTACTTATCAACAAAATCATCCAAAGACGAACGGCGAAAACCAAAAATATATTCAAAAGCTAAGTACATCAAGATTTATGGAAACTGTGAGTAATATTAGGGGTTTCATAAGGGTTAGCCTATCCGACTTTTCATTTTGCACCCGTCGTCTTGTCAATTGCCTGTGATGATCAGTATACAGCCAGATTGACAGTTAAACAATGCATCCATTTGAATGAACAAATCATATTGAGATAACTTTATTTCAGATTTTCAGTTAAGCCAAGTCATCTAACTTAATTTCATGACTTGTATTGATAAACAGTTCTAAGACATAAACCTAGCTATTAAAATAAAATATAGAACTTCTATTGATAAACAGTACATCACTATCAGACGATTTAAACTTCATAATGGAGATCAGAATACTAACTTAAGAACTTTCTGTCTACCAGTAAGTTTATCACAATGACAGAAACACTCGGTATAAGAATAACAAAAATTCCGTCATCCTAGTATACAGTCGGATTAATAGGTCAACATATTGAAAGAGTCCAACTTAGGACATTACTAGATAGACATTTCAACCTGTTATTAGAATGTCAATCTAAGTTAAGACAATGTCAGAATGTCGTGTCAACCTGTTAAAAGAATGTCATGCCGACTTTTAAGACTCTGTCAGAATATCATGTCAACATATATTTATAATTTAGGTTAAATAAATGTTATAATATAACATTTGGTCCTATTCTAATTTAGGTTAGTGTTGAAGTTTACAGTTTGGTCCTATTTTTTTTATTAATCTGTTTTATTTTTTATGGATAATGTTCACAACAACCCTCTCAGGGTCTTATTTAAGTATTGGGGTAGTTTTCAAAATCAAAACTATGTTGTTCGTTTGATAATGGTGACAATACAGCATTGATTATTTATTTAGATTTTAGATGCGTATAGAGATGCATCTTATTTTATTGACGATACCCTCCTTTAAAACATGAATATGAAATATTATGTCAATATTAACTGAACATGACATACGGTTAATTCTGAAAATTAAGATCAGCAACCTTTTCAATTCTGTATCCGATATTAAAAAAAAAACAGTTTTATTTTTTAGTGAATCGATATTCTTAATTTTAAGTTGAGTCATGGCAACAGTTCTGTTGCTTTGTTGTTAGTTGTTTCTATGTTTTAATTGGTATTTAGCAAACATTAGAAAATGTTATACCTATTAGTAAGTAAAGGTTGGAATCTCACTAAATATGTTAAGATTGACAGGCAACAGATATCACAAAATCTTGAAGTTTACATCATCACTCCATGATGCTTCCAACTGATAGAGAGAACATCGGTGTCTTATTAATGTTTTAAATTGTTGTAACAAATATATGTAAAGATCATCTTTGATATAACGTCGATAACAGATAAAAACAGATCAGCAAACAGAAAAATAAGGAAAACAAAGAAAAGAAATCCTATAACTTTACTTGACTTGTTAATTTGAAAACCGAAACAATTTAAAACAGTCTACTATTATTTTTCAATAACGGAATATGCATTTTTTAAAACTCGTCTGATAAATCAAAAGTGTTATTCATTTTGTGAATTTGTTCAATGAATGTGAAAATGGAGCAGTGAAATATAATTTTTAAAGTATATTAAGTATAGACGGTACTATATATCATTTTTGTGATTTCTCTTTGCTCGAAGTGTTGTATTGGGACTGAAGATGTCTCTAAATCAGTTAAGTAAGCGTAAAGGGGAAGGTTAATAGAAAAGTCATCAGTTATGAAAGGTCCTTCTTACTAAATAATGAGCTATGAAACAAACCAAAACATATAGAAATGTTCTTTTGATCAATCTCGTTAGTATTCGCTTAAGGTAGATAGGGTGTCTTCCTCCATCTTGGATTTTGAAATACCAGAAAAAAATCGGTCTAGACCTTTAATAAAATGTGCAAATTTTGAGAGTAGTGGGTAATTCATGTGTAAGAATTTTCATTTTAATATAGAAAATGACATGTTTTATTATATTTATGGTTGTATTTTACAAAAAAACAGAATACTTTTGTTTGATTCAATTTTTTCCAACTTTGCCACATAAGGGGAGGCAACTCAAATGTAAGGGCAGATAATTCAGATAAAGTTACTTTTACAATAGAATGTGTTAGGAATTTATCTATTTTATTATGTAGCAAGAAAACGGGCCCGGTGATCCCATTTTTTCTTTTTCTAATCTGAAAGTATAATATTAGAGCTATCTTCTCATATTTTATCTCAAAATTCTATGGTATAGTTTTCGTTTTATGGCAGAATATTGCGTTTTCCATGCATAATCTATACAAAATCTGTCAATTTTGCACATCCTGTAGCGTGAAAATAAGCCCCGTGACCCATTCTTTTTATTATTTTTTTCAAAAAAGCATGATATAAACTACATTTTGGCAAATTATTAAAAAATTCTATGGATTATAATTTAGACACCCCATCTACCTTAATTTGTATTGTTTTGCTATGAACTGTAGAATAAACCTGTACTATTATTCAGACAATACTGATTATGTATGATTTGTAAGTAGCATTACACACCTGGTCAAAGTACCGGTGGTAAATATCACCATAAATTGAAAAATTCTTTAAAAAGAAGATCTGTCTAAATTAATGATATTTTAAACTTTCAACTTTGCTCCAATAAAGAAGAGCAACAACACTAAGAAAACTGGAACACGAAAACATCTAGATAATCTTTTCTATTTTATATAGAATATATTTTATTGTTTTCTTTCCTCTATGAATTGACGTAACAGTAATCTATGCCAAGTCAGTCATGCCATGTTTCATTAAGGCATTTAACATAATATTTGTACCTGAACGTCTATGTTACAAGCCGAACTCATCTTATGAAGATTATCAGTCTTAGAAATAAATTAAAATATAAAAATCAGAGAAGTTTTTATTCTCATTTCTCATTTTGCATAATTCTTTATGGAGATAAGTATTTAACGATAAGAAATTAGACAATCATTAATAAAATTCTAAATTATCATAACATCAACTGTAATATTAAAAAAAAAAGAATAGTTGCTACTCGCGAAAACTGCGTGATAATCAGAAAAGAGAGAAACATTTGGAACACATCTGCAGTTTTACTCAAAATAAATGTTTCCGAGTTCAGTTTGTTAAAAATAATAATTTGATGTGAGAATTGTCTTTTTTGTCGAAGGAAGGCGTTTAGTAGAGTGACAAATCAAGAAAAAGTCGCTTATTTAAAGAGTTTAATGGACCGAAATACCTCACGGCTGAAAATTCACATGCAGATAGAGTAAACATTATACTTTCATTTTAGCCCTAGTTTTCC